ATCTCAGCCTGGACCCGGTCAAGGGCGCATTCGACATGGGCACTTTAATCCGGTACCTGGATCATAACGATGCGCTAGGCGGCGCAGAATGGGGACATCCCTCTGGTAGCTAGACTCGTGCTCCATATCGAACTGAGTAGCACTGACGACACGGGGATAGATAACCTCGGCGCCATCCTTGCAGTCGCAGACTGGCTATGTCGCGCCTCCGCATCAGGGAGATACAAGCATACCGGGCCCCCACTCACGATGCGCACGTTGCTCACCGCGCTCATAAAAGCATACGAGATCCAAGGCTGCTATCAGATCAGGAACGCCTTCAACGCCTTCGGCATCGATCACGTCATCCTTGTCAAGCTGGCCTCGGCCGCCGTGGTCGCCTGGCTCCTCGGTCTAACAGAGGAGCAGACGCTGGCGACGCTCTCGCATGTCTGGATGGACGGCCATCCGAGCAGGGTGTACCGGACGGGCGCGAACACGATCCCGCGGAAAGGTTGGGCGGCGGGAGATGCGTGTATGCGCGCGGTGCATCTGGCTCTGCTCGTGCGTGCTGGACAGCCCGGTGCACCGACGCCGCTGAGTTCGTTGCCGTTTGGGTTCTATGCGCGGACTTTTGGGGCGAGGGGGTTCGAGATGCCCCGGCCGTTTGGGGTGTGGACGATCCAGAATATCTTGTTCAAGGTGATGCCGGTGGAGGGGCATGGAATTGCGGCTGTTGAGGCGGCGCTTGTCCAACTTGGTAAGCTGCGGGCGAGAGGGCTAGGGCCGGAATGTATTGCCAGAGTTGAGGTTTGGACAACCCAAGCGGCGGATTTGATCATCAATAAGCGAGGGCCGCTGTATAATGCTGCCGATCGTGACCATTGCATCCAGTACGTGATTGCGCTCGCCTTTCTGAAGGGCTCGGCGCCGGAGGCGAGGGACTATCGAGATGAGAGTTACTGGGCCAGGAGCGAGGAGCTGGCTTCTCTGCGAGAGAGGATCTTCATTCACGTTGACGAGCATCTTACGAGAGACTATTTGGATCTAAATAAGAAGAGCATCGGCTCTGCGCTCACAGTCCACCTGCAGGATGGCTCTGAACTGCCCGCAGTTCTGATAGAGTACCCGGCCGGTCATGTACGAAATCCTGCCACAACTCTAGCGGTGCAAGAGAAGTTCACCAAAAATTTGCGGCTAATGTTTACCGAGAAGGAGATCTCCAAGATCCTCCAAGAGGTTGAGAAGGACGACCTACTCATCATGGATTTCGTCGGTCTTTTCGCGAGGCAATCATCACCAGGTCCGAGATTGTAGTGGCAATGCTGGAGTGAGGCGTCTTGTCATCAGCGGGAAAAGAAACTTTTATCTGAATATCTTAATGTGCTCGAATAGGCAGCATGTGGCATGTGAGTTAAATTGCCTTTGAAGTGCTTCATGGCAGCATCCATCACAGCGGTGAGCGCCAAAGCAACCAGTCAGAACCTCAATAGACGATTACTCAATCTTGCCAACTCCTTGAAGAGTAAGATAAACATCCGTCCCCCAGCCCCACAGACTCTGAATAGCGATACTGCCACCAAAGTATTCCGCGTATGCTCTGCTAAGCGGCAATCCATATCCAAGTCCCGCAATACTGCTCAGCTGGCCTCCACTAGCAGACATTGTGTTCAGGGCATCGAGATTTCCGTTATCCGACTCCAGCAGGTTTGAATCGGAGAACGTTGTGAAACTATAGGACCAGATGTTCGGCAATACCTCACGGGGAATGCCACCACCCCTGTCCCGTATCCTAATGGTTATGCTCTGCGACGATGGCGTTGAGAATTTAATTGACTCATTGGCATCTGCCGTACCCACCACGGTGTCCATCTCGAAGCCCACATCGGCATCAGGGTAGATACCCGGGGCATTTGACGTTATTCCAAGTGTATTGTGCACCTGATGGGTCGGGACGTCTGGGGCTGCAGCAATTGTAACTTCAATGGGCTCACGTTCGTTTCCTGACTCAATAACGGCGCGAAATGCGTTCTTCAGAAGCTCGGTGATGATGTACTCGACATGCACAGGTACGTGCGCAAACGTGGCGTCGGGTTGTCCCCCGATCTTTAGCCGCGGCCGCACGCCATATTTCAGCTCACAGATCTCCCCAACGAAATCTTCGCAGACCTTCACTATGCGAGCCGGCTGAAGGGCCGTGTCAATCACACCTATATAATTCGACGGGACCGTGTTCTCAGACGACTTCTCTATTCTGGAACCGACATCACTAACTGGCTGCGAGGCAAAGTGAAGGGCCAGATGTTGCTCTGCTATAAGCCGGGTGCCAATCCTCGCTCGTAGATGGGTGTCTAGGAATCGAGTCACATCGGCTGCACTGATATATTTCCTGCATTCAAGAAACCCCCGTGCCAGTATGGGTATGGTATTTGCATGCGTATGCACTAGGTCCGCCAGTACATCTGCGAACTTATTCTCCTCCTCCAGCGTTGTGACCTGCCGTTGCTGATAGGGCAGAAGAGTCGATAAGGAGTGGACGTAATTGTTATAGATCTTCGAGATGTGTGGGTTTGAAACGACGATAAAAGGGAGGTTTCGTAACGCTTGTATACGAGATGCCAGTCGGGCAGGTAGAAGGGATAGTGTGAAATTTGCAGACGCGAGTAGCGCCTCTTTTGATAAAGGCGGGCGTCCGTGCCTGAAGGAAGACAGAGTGGTCAGAAATGATCAGATGTCTCGAAGAAGGCTGCAGTGCCTCACTCACTTGAGTAGATCTGCGAGCGTCAATGGGCATCGACGGCTAGCCGCAAGACGTGCGACTTCATCATTCGCTCCATGTGCAAATGGCTGATGTAGAGCCGACTCGTGTTGATCTGGAGATGGTGATGTCGAGTAACATCTCACCTTGTAAAGGGAACGAGAAGGCAGTTGACCTTTCAGTTGATGCTTGTATATCAGAGTCGATACCTTAAGAATCCTTGTGGCTGTCATCATGGACGCTAGCCATCATGAATGGAGCCGAGCGACAATGGTTGTCAAGTCATTATTGATATCCAACGATGACTTCACCTTAACTCCGGATCGCCGTCGCCATGCGACTTTACCGAAAATGGATATTGACACGTGATAGGTATCCCCTAAGCCATGATCGGCGCATCACATCGAATGTAGGTGTCTTCACCAAGTGCAACTCTCTCCGATATGAACGCATCAACATTAGTGTTTCACATTTAAAGTCTGTCTTGATACTCTGATCCAGTGATGAATAGCCTTTGCCCTTCACTGTACGATTCTCTTTTTCGTGTTCTGGTCTTTCATTTACCAGCTCGCAGTCGATGTCGGCTATGGAATAGAGGACTCGGAGTCATTATCCCGAACGGAATTACCACGTCATAAGTATACTAGTAGACTATCTATAACGCATACATATAGCTACACATAACTGTAGCCGAGGTCCAGCTCTGAGGTTATGCCATTCAGATAGGGTATCATCCTCCGAAAATCACAGGGATCCACCAAGTTCAGGTCCTATGGAATGGAGGATGAACCACGGTGAGAGTCGAGAGCCCTGGTCGGCATTTTGCATCACTGAATCTTTACTTCTTGATCCTTCTCGACGTGGACGTGGGGGTTGCTCTCGAGGATACCGACTTGCTCCTCTGGGAATTCAACGCTGATTGAAGGTCAGCCGAATAATCTCCAACTCTGCAGTGCAAAGGAACAATGCCATACGTGAACGCCTTGATGAGTGTGAATTCGTGCTTGATGGTTCCCCCTTGTTCCTGGGCCGACTTCTTTGCTCTAGAAGGGAGAAGGTAGACGTAAGCATATGCGGCTGGAAGTCGATCATTAAAGAGGGCCTCACTTCTCCAGCTCCTCGGGTTGAGCATCTGGTTTCAGGGTGATCTAGTATATACAGATCAGTCAGAGCCTCCGTGGATGTTGAGACTTGTTACAAGAGGGCGACAGACATTGTAGAGAGGCATCTTCGAAGACGCTATGGGGATGCTATTAAGGTGTTGAGTTCTTGACTGTTGCGACAGGCAGGAAATGACGATGCGAGAATCTGTTCGGAAGGCAAGGTAGTAAGCCGTAAGAGAGTAATAGAACGGGTCAGGTGGGTAACTTGAGGGGAGAGGGACGATTTATATGGCCTGCGGGGATCCCAGACTGGAAGTGGAAGGGGTCTGATAAGGAAGCAGCTCGAGAGGGGAAGCTAGTATGGGAAGGCAACCACCTGTCGGTTCCAAAGTCATGCCTCCGGGCTTACGCTATCAGAACCATACAATAATTAGCACTCAAACTATGAATAAAAGAGCTGATCCATGGTGTATCTATCTAACTCGGAACATGCTGAAACGTCTGCGTGATATGTTACAGCGATAGAGATTGCAATGGTGTTGTCATTGCGGGAAATCAGATGAATGTTTATACCCCACCCGCGCAAGTACTACAATGCAGATGGAAGCAACCGTAACATAGGCATTAAACTTCTTTTCAGGTTGTGTACACTTGTGCAGGTCGAGCGAGATGACGCTATTCTGCCAACAAATTAATCAACCTGATAGATCTTTGCACCGACAAGGTGGGTGACAAGGCTCCGCGCATCTGCAGTGCAGCAGCACGATGACGATATCGAGTGAGCTGATGAATTAAGGCGGGGCAATCGGGTCACGTGTAGGTACACAATGCTCTACAGCCCTAGAACATCATTTCAGAATGCTTCTTTTGGAGCATTGTATAATAAATTGAACAGGTTTGTAGATTTTAGCTACTCAGTCTACGGTAATTGCAGGTCTTTCGTGGAACTGCCCGCTATTTGTGGGAAATGTCGGCGCTGACATTGGAAGGACACTGTGATCTGGTCTCACATCTTCAGAAAAGAAACGGGAACTTCACTGTTCGACCAGGTGGAGTACACTTCGTGATTGGAACAGAAGTATGAAACATGGCGCATATTCGACTCGGATTCCATTTGCGCAGAGCTTCCTAGGAGGTACAAAATGGCTCATGGAACGCAACTATAAACCAACATAGCCACTATCATCGGTTTCCCGTCGTGGCATTTGCAACCCATGCAGTCCCCTATAATTGGGGCTCTCAGGCTGTTTCCAACCATCCAGTATCTTGGGATCAGCCAGCTTGTACACCTCCACACCCAATGGACGGGTAGTAGCTCCCATCTTCTCGCCCTTCTCCTCCCATCCCCATTGAGAGAGATCTCCTGCAGTTGACTCATTAGTATCCGATCTCCAGCCTGGACTCAACATGGAACACATGGAACCATACCTCCAGGGCAAGTCGACAGTGCACAGAGCACATCTACTTCGGCAAAGAACTCAAAGTATTCTCCCGGCTTAGCTGGCGATGTCTCCATGAAGTACTTTCCCTGCTCATCCAGACCGGTTACCTGAAAGACATTAAGCACATCATGCACATCCAATTCAGTCAAGCCATAAGGTATGACCGCGCGTGTCAAGTTCGAGTGGCAGTGGAAGTCAAAGGTTTCTCCACCCATAAGCAAATTGACGTAGGGATCGCATCTGGTTCCAAGCAAATCATGAACACGTCCACCCCATTTCGATGTGCCAAAGCCAACACCCTCCTTCCGTTGACCGTTGACTTCCAAAACCTCATGCAATTGTCCACCATTCAGAGAGTCTCCGGTTATGGTGACGAGGGGCCGTAGATATGGCAGGTTTGACCACAAGCGGTCACCGACCGACACATGGGAAGCGTGAATTTGACGCGTGCGAGCAGCCCAAAGTCGCTCTCGGGGATTATTCGCATTCCAAATATTGAGATCGCCCACTTGCGGCCCTTTGGGTGTAGTCAGTCGACAGATATGCCCGGCTGGCACCACCCAGGCCTGTCCGGAGCAGGGACGGATAGTGAATGATGTCTCGAGAACCCTCCCAGAATCGCTGGAGGCACTCTCCGAGATATTCCTATAGACTTGGGACGTGCCATACACCGCTGAATCCTTAGCGGCAGTGTACGCGGGTGGAGGCCGACGAGATGTAGACATTATTGTGGTTATGCTCGCTGAAAACCGCTGCTATATAACCTTGGCTTAAAGCCAATTGACAGTTTGCGCCGACGGATAACCTCTGGCTTTAATAGGGGAGCCAATTCGGCTTCACTCCGCGGGCGGCCGTATGCCACATGGTGTCAAGCCCCGCTCATTACCCCAAGAGCCCAGAACTGCCCCATGTTTATCAGCGTTTTTGGTTACGAGATGGATACTGAACTCCTCCGTCTCTCCAGATATGCCGGGCCGGATCCTAGGGCACTTGTCGCGCATGACCGGACCGGAGTGGGTCCGATAACGGCATGTTCATGGTCAAGTGACTATTATTCTGCCCCAGGCGATAAGGCCACAACTCTCAGCAAAAACTTTTTTTTTGATTGATATCGGCGGGAAGAAATTCCGCGCCGGCAAAAGGAAATAATAATTTGGGTCTAGCTTGATAGAAGATCAAGAAGAGATCGCCGGTTTTGCTTTGCTTTGCGCTGAAATCTTTTCATCAATAGGAAATTACTTTTCCTTAGAGGTCATAGACCTCGAATTACCACGATGGAGGATCAAGCGAACAGGGCGCATCGGCCCGCAAAGGAGAAAAAGAAATACAGCGGTATGTTCAGTGCTTGACAAGCTCGTTACGCAGACTCGACATTTTGGCTTGACATTTTTTCTGTGAAAACAACCATACTGATATGATACTTGGCTCTCCAGGTCCTAACCCAAAGGCATTCGCATTCTCAAATCCTGGAAAGGGTGGCAGACAGGCTGCGCGATCCCACGATGTACGCATCTTTCCATGCATTATCTCCGCAGAATTTGTTCGCTGATTCCTATACCAATCTAGATCAAAGAAAAGAGGCTACATGTACCCTTGGTGGATCGTCTGCCCGAAGAGGCTCCCCCGCTTGTCGTTGCGGTTGTTGGACCTCCAGGTGTAAGTTATTCCGCTCGATGATGACGACCATCCCTAAGAAAGTCTGAGAAGATGGCTCTGACAATCGTTCACTTTCGCAGGTTGGAAAAACCACTCTTATTAAGTCCTTGATTCGTCGTTATACGAAACAGACACTTAGTACACCCAAAGGGCCTTTGACGGTGGTGACGGCCAAACGCCGACGGCTCACGATCATCGAATGTCCTTCCGACTCCCTCGCTAGCATGATCGATATCTCCAAGATTGCGGATATTGTTCTTCTGATGATCGATGGTAATTATGGGTTCGAGATGGAGACCATGGAGTTCCTCAATGTCTTGGCCTCCAGTGGTATGCCTGGAAATGTGTTCGGCATTTTGACGCACTTGGATCTTTTCAAGAAGCAAAGCACCCTTCGGGCGGCGAAAAAACGATTGAAGCACCGTTTCTGGAGTGAACTTTACAACGGCGCAAAGCTTTTCTACCTCTCTGGCGTGGTGAACGGCCGCTATCCTGACCGCGAAATTCATAATCTCTCCCGCTTCCTGTCTGTCATGAAGAATCCTCGGCCGTTGGTTTGGCGAAACTCTCACCCTTATGCGCTTGCAGATCGATTTCTAGATATCACACCTCCAACCCAGATTGAAGAGAACCCCAAGTGCGACCGGACCGTCGCGCTGTACGGATATTTGAGAGGAACGAACTTTCCCGCTCAAGGTGCACGAGTCCACGTTCCTGGTGTTGGTGACTTGACAGTTGCGGGCATTGAGGCCCTCCCGGACCCGTGTCCGACCCCGTACATGGACCAGCAACTTGCCAAGACATCTGGCAGGTCAAGCAAACGCAGACTAGGCGAGAAGCAAAAACTTCTATTCGCTCCCATGTCAGATGTCGGTGGTGTTTTGGTCGATAAGGATGCCGTTTACATTGACGTCAAGACATCGAATTTCGAACGAGATGAAGATGATGACAATCAAGATCGCGGCTTGGGTGAGCAGTTGGTTGTCGGTTTGCAGGGTGAGCGCAAATTGCTCGGTGAGGCAGAGGGTGGTGTCCGTCTCTTCAGCGGTGGAGAGGTTTTGGAAAAGGCGGAAGATGATGAGGGCGACAATGTTGGCAGAAAAGAGAGAAGAAAAGTGAGAGTTATGGAAGGAGAGAACGATCAACAAGAGCTGTCGGATGGGGATGAAGGGTTCGAAAGTGGAGAAGACGAAGAAATAGATGAGGATGGAGAAGGCGATGATCTCAGTGATGAAGAGGATGGTGGCCTGGAAGATGTTTCCGCCCCACCAGATTTTGAAGAGAACTTCAAAGCAAGGCAGAATGGCAGTGCCCATCGTGAAGAGGGGGATCTTGCCTTTGCGGACAGTGATTCCGACCTGGGTTCCATCTCGTCGGTTGAGGATCAAGAGCTGGAAAGCGATGTCGACGAGGACGACGTGGAGGAGGATGACGACGGCGCACTTCGCTGGAAAGAAAACATGATTGCCAATGCGAAGGCCCTTCATGGCAAGCGACCCAAGTTCCGTGTTGCTGACCTTTCCCGGATGATGTACGACGAGTCTATTGCGCCAGCGGATGTGGTGAAGAGATGGCGGGGCGAAGACGATGAGGATGAAGAATCCGAAGCTGAGGAGCACCAAGAAGATGAAGACGATTTCTTCAAGAAGACTAACACGGAGAAGGAAGAACAATCGGATTATCGTGCTGTTCCTGAATATGATTATGAGAAACTGGAACAAAAATGGCAAGATAGTGATATGATCGAGGCTCTGCGGAGCCGTTTCGCTACCGCTAAACTCTCTGGTGGGGATGACGATGATGACGACGTGGACGACGATGATCTCGATGATGCTTTTGACGAAGATGACGAGGGAGACGGCGCTTTCGAGGATCTCGAGACCGGCGAGGTGTTCAATGGACTCTCCGACAACGAAGACGGAGAGGAGCCTAAGAAGGAGGAAGGTCCAGTGGACCTAGAGGCCGAGCGTGAACGCAACGCGAAGAAGAAAGAAGAACTCCGACTACGATTTGAGGAAGAAGACCGCGAAGGTTTTGCCAACTCGAAAGACAATGCGCGACAGGGAGGTGCAGGCGAAGAAGAATTCGGCGAGGACCAATGGTATGAGCTGCAAAAGGCGAAGCTGCAAAAGCAGCAGGACATCAACCGCGCTGAATTCGAAACTCTTGACCCTGCCTCGAGGGCCAGAGCGGAAGGCTTCAGAGCCGGAACCTATGCCCGGATAGTCCTCGAGAAAGTGCCCTGCGAATTCGCCACGAAGTTCAACCCTCGATTCCCAGTGATTGTTGGCGGCCTGGCGCCGACCGAAGATCGATTCGGTTACGTGCAGGTCCGAATTAAGAGGCATCGCTGGCACAAAAAGATCTTGAAGACCAATGATCCTCTGATTTTCTCCCTGGGTTGGCGTCGCTTCCAAACCCTGCCCATCTACAGTACATCCGACAACCGGACACGAAACCGCATGCTTAAATACACCCCTGAGCACATGCATTGCTTTGCTACCTTCTACGGCCCGCTTGTCGCGCCAAACACAGGTTTCAGCTGTGTACAGTCCCTCTCGAACAAGACGCCAGGCTTCCGCATTGCGGCCACCGGTGTGGTCTTGAGTGTGGACGAACACACGGAGATCGTCAAGAAGTTGAAGCTTACCGGTGTGCCTTACAAGATCTTCAAGAACACCGCCTTCATCAAAGATATGTTCAACACGTCGCTTGAAATTGCCAAGTTCGAGGGTGCTTCGATCCGAACCGTCTCCGGCATCCGTGGTCAGATCAAGCGAGCCCTCGCCAAACCCGAAGGATGCTTCCGTGCCACTTTCGAGGATAAGATCTTGATGAGCGACATTGTCTTCCTGCGTGCATGGTATCCTATCAAGCCACACCGCTTCTACAACCCGGTGACGAACCTGCTCGACTTGGACGAGGAAGGCAAGGGCGATAGCGGTTGGCTGGGTATGCGTCTGACCGGTGAGGTGCGTCGCGAGAAGGGTATCCCCACTCCGCAGAACAAAGACTCAGCCTATCGTCCGATCGAGCGGCCTACTCGTCATTTCAACCCTCTCCGTGTCCCACGGCAGCTGGCCGCAGACCTCCCCTTCAAATCCCAGATCACCCGGATGAAGCCACATAAGGACAAGACCTACATGCAGAAACGCGCGGTGGTGCTTGGCGGAGAGGAGAAGAAGGCGCGCGACCTTATGCAGAAACTCACCACTCTGCGGAATGAGAAGCAGGCCAAACGAGCCGCGAAGCAAGAGGAGCGTCGTAAGGTATACCGCGCCAAGGTCGCGGAAAGTCTTGAAAAGAAAGCCGAGCGAGAGAAGCGGGAGCGTGACGAATATTGGCGACGGGAAGGGAGGAAGCGGAAGAACCAGGATGCAGAAGGTGGAGGAGGAGGCAAGAAGCGCAAGTGATATCAGCTCTGCTTTTTTTACCATGTCCCTTCGTCTTACAATATCCCATGGTTTGTTCGGTTGTCAAAAGTCTCTTTAAGTGGTACTGTCCATGCAGTATCCACGTACATATTGCATTGTGGATGGCGTTGTTTGATTCAACCTTCCGATCAGGATATCTGTTCTTCTAAATACCTCAGATGTCTGTTATATATATATATATACCAGTCAATATACAGTAGATCTTCTAATGTACCGCATTCAGCCTATTGCTTCTATCTGGAAAGGCACTAGAGTGGAAAAGCGGCACGTGATCGTGGCGCGAAACGCGTCCTTCAATGATCCCGAAGTCACTTCCTTATCAAGGAAGAGTATGCGTGAATTGTTCCTTTCCAATTTATATTTGACGGGCATATATGCCATATGCCTTCCGGCATCATTTTCCCTAGACTGTTGACAGACCTCTAACTACAGTATCCGCCCATTATCGGGACGTGACGCAGTGTGGGGACGGAAGTTGTTGACAGTTGAATCATCGAGTGGTTGATCCCGTCGCCGGGGTCGCCGCTTGCGCTGTCGCATTTCGCAATCACGCCTTGCGCGTGTATCAAGTAGAGCTGCAGACTACAGGAATACCTCCTTGCAGCGAATTTAAAGAACTCTTCAGTTTGGAGACTTGTTCAAGCCAATCGCTCTCCAACTTGTCTGCTTTCCGCTTTCGCACCCACTTTGCTACATTCCCGCGCCAACCTAGCTCTCCATCGCGGGCAGTAATACCGTCACTCGTGCCACTTGAGGTTGGCGATCGTCCTGGCTGGTCCTGGAAAATTGTCTGTCTGTCATAGAACCCTTCTTGACCGACTTCTGGTATCGGATCCTCATCTGGACTCGAAATTAAGACTTGCAAGGCTGGTTCTTGTCGGGGTTGGGGTCATTGGAGGTTGCCGTTCAGATAAGCCCGTTGTTAGCTACCGCTTGGTCGCTATGAGCGGGTCGAATGTTGACGTGCCGTTAACTGAGCATTCTTCGGCGCATCTGACCTGTCCAAATGACGGCTTATCTGCTGCTGGCGAGGACAATTACCCTGTCTCCGAAAGCGACAAAGTTCCCGACAAAGCTCACGACGTCGCTAAGCAAACATCAAATCCCCCTCTGGCTCTGACACTGCAGTCCCCAGTGGCTCGAGGAGAGCCAGTTGGATCAGGAAGCAATCTCGATTCTTCTCATGCATCCAGAGGTCAATTGCCTGAAGTGGGGACTTTCCCCGGAGGAAGCACTGCACGGTCGCAGCCCTCATTGAGCTCGCAAGGGAATAACTTGACTCGAGGCCTTTCCTCACATAATCTTTTCAGTGGGCAAGAACATGATGTTGCATCAAGTTCAGGGACTCAGCGCTCGCCCCAGTTAGCCCGCAGTCACAAAAGAACCGCGACTGGTGAAATTAAGCCCTCGAACACATCAGTAGCACCTCCTACCCCCGGAACGATTAGCGCGGAGAGGCATCCAGCTGAGAGTATCGGCTGGCGCTCGCGTGGAAGTAAGATCGCTGCGGTAAATTGGCCTTGTAATGCAATATTCTGCGTTGTCCTGCTGGTGCTGATATCATAGACTCAGTTGTCCGTTCACCTTCGTACTCGTTTGTCTTACGCTGCAGCCAAGATAGAGAAAAGCAGGCAATCTCTCGACGCGCAGGGGAAACTGCCATTGGATTTACTACAAGAAAGCTCCTCCACTCCACCAGTCATTGTCAGAAGTCCACCATACGCTGATGGGGCTGATGGTTCGCGCCGGCGAGACAAGGACTCTCCAAACGGTTCGCCAGTCTCCGCGCCAGATATGCCTATCCAGTCCAATCTCTTCCCTCGAAACACACGGCTCTCACCTGCAGCCCGGTCAGACGATCTATCATCTGTTTCCCCATCAAGAAACTCGCCCGGATCACCATTCTCATCTAAAAGAATATCGGCAACACCGAGACTCGCACCTCCCGCAGATATTGTTCCAAGTGGTAGTAGCAGCTCCCGCCGCAGGCGGCCGAATCCAAATCAAGCACTTGAAGCTTCACGCTACATCTCATCATTTGATGACAGGCAGCATCGTTCTCAGCATGGAACTACTGATGGTTCACAGAAGATTCTCGTTCCGGGAACGCCTCCCCTCCAATCGTTATCTCAGCCGACATCGACGCCGTACAACGGCCTGTCGAGGCAGTCAACGCATTCGCAAAATGCATCAATGGAACAAGACGCCATTGAAACCTTATTATTCATGTCCAGTCCTGGTAATTCAGCTTACCACCCGGGTTCCCAGAGACAGCAAAGTACTTCGCACATCAGCCAAACATCACTAAGTACAGAAACGAGCACCAGCGGGAGTCGGTTGCAAGACCCTCAGGCGGCTGGGGAAGATCATCGTCGGGCAGGTCAAGCTCGCTACTTGGAAGCGCAAGCGGGGGACGAGATTGATCGCATGCTTGACCAGATGGAAGATAGCGACAGCGATAACGAAAGGAAACCTATATACCGTTGATTTCGTGGGTTGAGTGTGTGGCATGGCCTCCGTTGCCCTTTCCGACTAAGAAGACCTTTGTCCCATTCTTGATGGGCCTCAGAATGAAAGGTCCTTTCACGATTTTTTTCACTACTTTGCTTTCTCGGTGCCTCCTTGAATCTTTCACTATTCTGTTTTGCATGGCATCATCTTTGGGGCATTTCCATTGCGAGTTTTTGGCCGTACATTATTGCATAATCATACAAGTCCGCTATATGTCAAACTTCGGCCATCTTTGATGGGGACCGTGGCAAGTTGATCAGGGGCAAGCCATCTCTAGGCGCTTTTGTGCTAGATCTTGAATACTCAAGAGGCAGGGACGCTTGCTTAAGGCTGTACAATATTCTCGCATCTTTCTTGGAGTTTTGGCTTTGATATGAGCGGAATTCGGATCCATGCAAGAAGCTGCATTATGACATTGTGCTTTGCAAGTCGTCAAATCATCACACTTATCGCCCATTGCGGGGGCTTTGGACACATTTGTGATTGGTATGCAGCATCATCGGCATTGGCGCAACGAGGCCAGCAACCTCCAACTGCGATATTCCAGCGCTGGCCCACGTTGCTTTGCTCGAACTAACTTTCTTGGATAAATCTATCTGTCAGCAATCTCATGATCTTCAGAAGCTGAAGTCTTGATACTGTGCATTTTATCCGTCGGGCCTAATAATACACCGTATTATCTGGTTTATTGTTTTATCACCCCGCATTTCAGAATACTCCCAATTCTCCTCACCTGGTGAGGCCTAAGCGTCCTGCAATACCAATCCAGCAACCAGGATGAGTGCAGACCAAGGCTCAAACTCATCCGCATCAACGTCCTCCTCTTCTCTCTTTGATCCTGGCGTCTTTCTCCCCGGCGGCCACAACAATGACCCCCCGCTCCCGGAAAACAGCCCCACGGCTGGCTACAAACTGAATCACTTCATGCTCCGTGTCCGCGAGCCGCAGCGCTCGCTCCACTTCTACATCAACCTCATGGGCATGCGCACAGTCTTCACCATGAATGCCAGCCCTTTCACACTATACTACCTAGGCTACCCTCCCACATCCGAAGACCGAGCCGACCTGCCCTCCTGGTCTGCACGAGTCGCCAAACCCCCGGTTCTCACGCAAACCCCAGGGTTGCTGGAACTGTACCATGTCCATGGGACAGAAAAAGCGGACGCCGAGGGCGGCTTCAACATGTCCACTGGCAATACGCCGCCGCATCTCGGCTTTGGACACGTAGGATTCACGGTGCCGGATGTTGCGGGCGCATTGGAGAGGCTTAGGAAGCAAGGAGTCCCAATCATCAAGGAGTTGGGTAGTAGTTCGCGAGAGAGTGTGCCGTTGAGTTCGTGGGAGGAGGAAAGGGGAGTCGGTGTGGGCGAGATTCATTCGAATTATCAGAAGCTCTTTGATCAGATTGCTTATGTCGCTGATCCGGTAAGCTCATTGCCCTTTGAAGAATCGAGCAATGTGTTGTGGCATTTGAAACTCACTCGTTGCAGGATGGATATTTCGTGGAACTGATTCCTCAGGATTTGCATTGAGGTTGGCAGGGCACACAAGGCCGTTTTAGTGGAACTCTTGACAATGTACAGTGTTCAAGGCTGTAAATACACCTGAACGCAGGTCTGATGATACTGGGATAGACACGGTTCTCTTTGCAAAAATAAGCAAAAATCTAACTTCCTTTTTTAAAAATCGCAACATAACGCCAACCACGATATCCATACATGATGCTCAAAAGTGTCGATCGTCGTCTACTCCACACCCCAGCTGTCATCCATCTCCGCAACATCGTAATCAACGTCATGGTTTCCATCCTTGCGAGCATTGAGCTGGTCCGCAGGTTGCGACGAGCCCGCCGTAGACTCCATGACCGTGTCTTCGTCCGAGGTCGGCTTAGTATCCGAGCCAGGGCCCGAGATCTGAGCAGACGCAGTGGCACTGACGGGAGGGTTGGGGACCCAGCTAAGCTGGACCTCTCCAACGGACGGGATGTTCCACGGCCCGCGCATAAATTTCTCGGCTTGGTAGCGCTCCTTGAAGGCCACGACGACAGTGCTTGGCTGTTCAGGGTGAGGTTCGATGGACTCGTACTCGCCGACGCCCTGGGAAGGCGAATTTCAGTAATTATCCAATGCTGGTAAACTCAAAAAAGGGGAAATGCTTACAATGAGGAACTGTCTCAGCGCTTCATCCTTTTCCGTATTCAATTCCACACCCGAGACAGCGATTCTCTTGGGCCGGTTGTCGAGACGGAGAACACCGCCGCGGCCACGGGCAGCACCTCGCCCACGGAAGCTTCCGCGGATTGGAGGAGCGTACCCGCGAGCACGTGGAGCGAACCCTCCCCGGTAGCCTGCATATCCTCGTCCCCGACCACGGTAGGAAAACGGTGTCGCGCCTGCTTCCGAAGCGTTGGGGTCGATTCCAAGGGTTTTGGCTTCGGCCTCGAGAGCTGCCAGCTGCGCGCGGAGCTGCTTCGTCTGCTCGCTTGCGTTCTCGTCGGCGGGGGACTGACGAGCTTCGCCATCGGGAGTCGTGCCGTTGCTTGTAGCGCTGGCGCCAAGTTTCCGTAAGAGCCGCTCCTTCTCCTCCTGCTGCTTCTTGAGAAGTTCTTCTCGCTGTTTCTCCAGCTTCTGTTTGGCCTCTTCGGTCTCCTTTCGCTTCCGCAATTTTTCTTCGTATGCCTTCTGCGCTTCTTCCTGTTGTCTTTGGAATTCTTGAGGATCGAAGACGGGGCTTTCGTCCATTGCGTCTCCCGTGGGTCGTTGGTCACCGTTTCTCTCGGATTTGGGCTTATGCCAATAAACCTTGACGAAGCGATTGTCGAAGATGACCTTAGGACTTGACCATGCCCGCTTGGCTGCTGCGTGGCTATCGTACGTGATCAAGGCCAGTTTCCTGTGTGGTTGTAAAGAGATCTCGGCGATCTCGCCGTATTGGACAAAGAACTCGCGCACCGTTGCCTCGTCAAGCTTGTCATCAGGAATTTGTTCCACAACAATCGTCTTCATTGAGGGATCGTCGCTGGGACCAGCGGCAGAAAATTCAGACCGACGCCCTCGGCCTCCAAAACCGCCTCGATCGCCACCGCGGCCACGGCCACGACCTCGGTCACTGCCGCGCATCGGGCCTCCGTCACGTCTTTGAAAGTCCACCATAATGGAAGCTGATTTAGGATCATATTCTGTAGGATCACTGATTAGCAATAGTCTGCACTCAGAGCGAGATGCTAATCGCTTACCGTCTTCCTTTGCCGAGGGACCTGTATCATGCTGGTACGGGCAGGCTGCCCCAAGGTAGCAGATGCCTTGTGTCTCGTAGAACGGGCACCGCTCAGATGACTTGGCCATCATTTGCTCCTGGGGTTGACCAGCACCACCTTGAGCCGCCATCGGCATTGGAGGCATACCAGGCATCTGAGGGAACCCCATGCTCTGTAGAGCCATCATCGCCGCCATCGGATCATTTTGGTCGAACGCCGGGAATGATGGTGGCATGACCGGGAACCCAGCGCCAGTAGGAGGGAACTGACCAGGCGCACCGTGGGGTGCCCGACCATCGCGTCCCATCCAGTCGCCGCGGCCGCCTCCGCGCCCTCGACGAGGTGTCTTGAAGGTCCGATTGTGGGGCACATCTTCACGTTCCTGCTCTGTCTGGAAGCCCTCGTGGTAGGTACGCTTCCGGTTAATAATCGAGCCGTCAGGACCTGTGTGCACCGGGGCCGCGCCGCGCATTGGCGCTCCGTAAGCACCTGTAGAAGGACCGGAGGGCACATTATACGGGAACGCCTGCTGGGGGAGGGACACGGGCTGTGGCAGATCATGAGTGAGGGGGGGCTGGGTCTGAGTGTGCGAGACGGCGGGAGGAGCCTGCTGCTTCGGGCCAAAGGTGGCGAACAGCTCATCGACAAATTGCGTCGTATCTAGAAGCAGCGACAGTTCAGCGAAGAGAGCTCTGTGTCGAATGCACCAAGCACGAACAACACTTACGCTCTCTCAAAAAGTCCTCCAAATTTTCCACCGACGCCTTCCTGATCTCATCATCGGGAGCATCTGACCGGATAAGCGCAAGTACGTAGTCCGCAAGCACATCGGAATCAGCATCCGATCTGTAATTAAACGATGCCAATCGTGGTCAGCATTCCCGAGTCCAGGGAGGTTTATGCAATGGTACGCATGTGCGTTATGACAGGGTCAACCTACATGTCTTCCAACTTTTTCACCACCCATTTCTTAACCTCCGTCGCCTCGTCTTCCGTGAGCTGCATGTTCGTAGCTGAAACGGAAAGCCGGCTTCTTCTTGTATGAATGCGAGCAGGTACTGAGAGAGGATTCGGCAATTTTTCGAGCACGGATGCGAATGTAGCTTATGTGCGTTCAAAAACGAGCTTAATGATTCGTCGAACGTCCCGATTGGATAGAAGGGGGTCGAGATATCAGGCCTCCAGCAATATCAAGAGGTCAATTTAGGTCATCGTGCGGGTTGAAAGATGAGGGGTGTGGGACAGAGCTTTGCGCCTCGAAGCTGGGGAAACGCGAACGACGCGGATGACGGTGGAGTCACGTGATTCATATCGAGGCCTTCCCTACAGAATTACAAGTGAGCTCGACAGTCAACGCCATCTCCAGGTGAAGAGGCACGGCAGGATCGAATCTACGGAAGAATCTACGATGTGAAAGCACCGAGATATTTGAACTACTGAATGGAATTTTCATGTCCAAGCAAAGAACAGCAAGTAAACTATTTAAAGAGCCCTCGCAGTCATAAACGTAACAAATAGATTATAGGAAGCCATAGCGAATGCACGCGCACACCTGGATTCTACTTCTCTAGGTATTCGAAAATCCACATACGACATGAACCAAGCCCGTGTTGTGTTTCGTTTTGAAATTTCGCTCATTGAATTTTCCTTGTCTTTTCATAGACAATGTAGAGGGTTCGTCAATCTCATAAACATATATTTGCAGCCATGACTGACTGAAAACATATCAGGCGGGGTATGGAACATTTTTACAGCTTGTCGTAGTACTGTGAAAGGTGTTAGCAACGTATCTAGTGAGATCAGAGAGTACCAGAAACTTACGTTGTCGTAACCAGGGACCTGCTCCTTGAGACCCTTGCGCTTACGCATCTCAGCAACGGTCTGACCAGGCTTGGTAGTGGGGTCAAGAGGAGAACCACCAGGAAGAATAGACCAGTGGTCGAAGACGGACTGAGGGAAGGCCTGACCACCGGTGGCCTGGCGGAGATCGCCGTTGAAACCGAAGGACTCGTTGACAGGCAGGTAAGCCTTGACGTTGAACAGAGGAGTACCAGGACGCTGCTCCTCGCTGTAGACGTGACCACGACGGCGGGTAAGGACACCGTAGATACCACCCATGGCCTGCTCGGGAACCTGGATTTCGACGTTGAAGATGGGCTCCAGGAGACTGGGCTCGGCAAGCAGGGTAGCGGCGTACAGCACACGACGAGCAGTGGGGATGATCTGACCACCACCACGGTGGATGGCATCAGCGTGCAGAGTCACATCAAGGACGTTGAAGCGGATAGAGCGCATAGGCTCCTCAGCAATGGGACCCTCACGGGTGGCCCACTGGAAACCAGAGACGAAAGAGTCCTTGATTTCGTTGAGGTACTGGACGGCCTTGGTCTGGTCAACCAGCAAGTTGGCACCGGTGGTGTCGGGACCGAAGCACCAAATCTTACGGGCATCGGTAACATCCCAGCCGTAGTCGTCGGCGAGGAGACGGGCACGGGCCTTGAAATCGTCACGGGGGTTGATCTTGCCGGACTCGATGGCGAGGGAGACCTCCTCGCCGAGGGGCTGAGCAGTGACGTAGAGACGGTTGTGCTTGTTGGGAGACTTGGACAGGGCGGTCATGCTAGACTCACCGCCGACGGTCTCACGGTAGGAGACGACAGGGTCGGAGATACGGAGAGGGACACCGGCGTGGTCCTCCTCGAGATCCTTCAGGCAAATTTCAAGGTGCAGCTCACCGGCACCGGCAACAATGTGCTGACCAGACTCGTTGATCATAGTCAGGACACAAGGGTCAGACTTGGACAGACGCTTGAGACCTTCGACCAGCTTGGGCAGATCCTGGGCGTTCTTGACCTCAACACCACGCTGCACGACAGGAGAGACGGAGAACTTCATGACCTTGAGGTTGTGGGCGGTCTCGGAGGTGGTGAGGGTACCAGACTTGAGCAGGAACTGGTCGACACCAACCAGACCAACGATGTTACCAGCAGGAACATCTTCGATGGGCTCAACGAAACGACCCATCATCAGGATGGTACGCTGGATAGCCTTAACGAAGAGATCCTCCTTCTTGCCAGGGATGTAGTTAGGACCCTGGATGCGGACCTTAAGACCGGACTTGACAGTACCGGCGAAGACACGACCGAAGGCATAGAAACGACCCTTGTCAGAGGTGGGAACCATCTTGGAGACGTAAAGCATGAGAGGAGCCTTGGGGTCACAGTCACGGATACCAATAGCGCACTCGTCGTCCATGGGACCCTCGTACAGAGTCTCGGCACGGTACTTCTGGGCAGTGACGGGAGAGGGCAGGTGGATACAGATCATCTCCAACATGGCATCAGCGGCGGGCAGGAACTTGCGCATAATGACCTTGAGCAGAGCCTTGCCCTTAAGGTCCTTCTCGTCGCTGGCAAGCTTGATCTCGAGCTTCTCAACGAGCTTGTGGATCTCCTCAGTCTTGTCGTTGTTGACAGCAGCGAAGATCTTGAAGATGGGGTCCAAGATGAACATGTTGAAAGCACGCTGCTCGGGTTCACCGGACTTGGACCACTTCTTGGTCTGGGGGTTGAAGTAGTTGTCACCCTATGAAACGTGTTAGCTAGCTGGTTATATTTTCCTTCTGGGGAAATATGATCCACTCACCCAGAGACGCTCAAGCATCTTCTTACGGTCAACGCCGAACTTCTTGGCGTACTTGACAGCGAACTGGCGGACGGTGAAAGCCCATCCGTGGAGACCGGAACCGAAAGCAACGGTACCACGGTCGGGGTAGACCTGAACATCACCAAGAGCCTTGTCGTGGTAGGTGGCGATGATGACGTTAACGGACTCAACGGTACGAGAGAAGGACTGGTAGAGATCCTCCTTGGTAACCTGAAGTTCGAGCAGAGCACGGTCGACCTTGTTGATGATCAGGACAGGCTTGATACGCTCGGTCAGGGCCTGACGCAAGACGGTCTCGGTCTGGACACAGACACCCTCAACGCAGTCGACGACGACCAGGGCACCGTCAGTGACACGCAGAGCGGCAGTGACCTCAGAGGAGAAATCAACGTGACCGGGGGAATCGATCAAGTTGACCAAGAACTCAGCACCATCGACCTTCTGGGGGATTTCCTTGAGATCCTCCGGATCGGGGAACTTGGCATAGAGGGAGATGGCAGTCGACTTGATGGTGATACCACGGTCCTGCTCATCGGGACGAGTGTCCATGTAACGACCTTCACCGGCCTTAGCAGCCGAGATGATACCAGCACGCTGGATCATGGAGTCGGTCAGAGTTGACTTTCCGTGATCGACTATAATCCCAATATGTCTTAGTATTTGTAATCAAGGAAAATCCTGTCTTCTTTTTCCTCTTCGCGAAGCTACGTACCGTGAGCAATGACGGACATGTTCCGGATGTTGGCCGGACGGTCCATGAGGGACCGGATCTGGTCATAGTCAGTTTTGTTTGTCCTTCATCTCGTAGCTCTGTTCTGCTCTTCTTGCTCTCTCTCAAGAGTAGGCTTGGCAAACCCGGCGCGGGGATCAACGAACCTCTTCGATAGTGAAGCTATAAACAGCATGTTAGCAATCTTTATTCTATCCCATCCCAAATATAGTCTTCATTATTCGAGGCCCGAGTATCGTCCAGGGGAGAGTGAAGACTTACTTAACCATTTTGACGGTTTTTTCTTTTTAAGCCGTAGAGGCGGGGTTGTGAGATAAGGTAAAAAGGTAGAGGGAAAGAAAAAGAAAAGTCAAAAGCAAGAACAAACGACACACAGAGGATCAGGATCGAGGACTAGCTCGACCTGACAGCAGAAATTGAATAGGACGTAAAGGACCTATGTGCGCTGCTCAAGAAGCGGGCTGAGGTGGGAAAAAGGAAGTAGAAGTGTGGTGGTGGTGGGAAGAGGGGAAAAAGAGGGAGGGAAAGCGAGGAAGGACGGCGGGTGGGGACGCTGCAATATTATTTGTGCAAGAGAACTCTTTTTTTTTTACCCTCTGATTTTGAAATCTGGGATGTGCGTTTTTTTTCCCGTACTGTTGCCCTGCCATTATTATTACTATTGCCCCTCAGATTTTTCCTGTCGTCTTACAGCCTACAAAGCCCTGGAGGTTGATACCTTAGGTACCTATGTGCCCCTCATCACTGCCTTGTACTATGTAGTATTATCAGAGCTTAGCGATCATCAACCCAGCCATGGATAATGGCAAATTCGTACTCATTTAATGACCTGTTACCAGAGCTAGAGGAATTGACCAGTTGACTCGCAGTATATTCCCTCCCTTATGGATGACCTATGAACTGAGTTGCCAGAGTTGGCAGAGCTCTTCCACCGTGGTTCTTCCCTTCCGTTTGAGTCACATTGTGACTCGTCTAGCTACCAGCTATAGGTTTAAAGCTTCATCAGAGCTAGCTACCATATTTGATGCTTGCTTCTATAAACTCTGTCCTCTCGTAGAGGGCATTGAAGGGTGGCGTTGGGCTCAAGACACTGATATCACGATTATTTCAGTGAGTGTATCAGAGTTACCTTACCACACCTCATCAGCCCACTTTGTTCTGTCAATTCCTGTTACCGAGTCGTTTCGAAGTCCAAGCTAAAGATAACCCCGCTTACTGAAAAGAGTTAGCTCCATTGAGGTCGGAAAGAAAAGCATGAAAATTTTTCAGGAAAGAGACTCTCAGCAACCAATCAGAGCTTGTGAGCAAGGACTTTCTCCACCTCACCGCTTAATTTATCAGACGCGGAGTTAGGAATTAACGAGTCTCGTAGCTTGGATAATTACCTGCCTTACATAGGTAGCTTCCCACATACAGTTCATCTCAAGGGTAGCAGCTTCATGCAGGTCGATGTACTCATTATTGATAAGTTGACTTAAACTATGTACAGTATTAGACATTATGCACAATGCAGGCAGACTATCAAGGACTCGAAATTAATCTCGAGGACTCCCAGAAGAGCATGTAAAATGACCGACTCTGAACCGCCTGAGATGATGTATGATCTGTG